TTATCTTAGAATGGAGCTTTTCTTATAAAAAATAAACTTAAATAAAAACTGTGGGAAAAACGATAAACAAAACTACAATAAACACAAACTCGCCCGACTTACAACCCTGGTCAAAACGTCTTAAGATACTTGAGAAAATTAGGCACAAAGACGCACTTTGCTAAATTAACTCATATTCTACCTCTTAAAAAAGCTTGGGGATGTTGCTATAAGGGGCTATTTCTGCTGTCCCCCTCTCCCCCAAGCAGTGTTGATTGTGTTGAATTAAAACTTGAATACATAACGTCAACACTGCACCGAGGGGGAAGGGGGAGGGAAGATGCCTCAATTTGACGAGCTATCGCGTTAGTGGCTCAAGAATTTTGACCAGGGTTGTAGTCCCTAGGCCTCACTATTGCGCGCGGCGAAAGCGTTTCAGGTCACGTGGTCCAACAGCTGCAACTTCGATTCGATAGCTCAGTTGGATGATGAGATTGAAGGATAAGGAGCAGAATCAATCTTATTACTAGCAGGACTATGAATATTCTGCTGACTTTTCAAAACCGGTCGGCAAAAGTCAATCCCGCAAATATCCACAAGAGTAAAAAAAGAAAACATAACTTTCTGCTGCTTACAAGATCGACAACATCTTGAATTTCAAAAAGCAACGCACGCATGCGCGTTCTGTTTTTGTCTAGGCGTTTCCCGCCCGTTCGCTTCGGATACGTCACCGAAGTGAATTGACCCAGAGGGACTAGGAAAACGCCGTACAGGGACTAGGCAAAAACTCGCCAATGTCTCATCCGTGGGCTAGTGTCACAAGATAGATACCAGTTCACGGGCTAGAAAAACTGAACACATGAGATCGAGGTAAAATGTACCAGCCAGCCAGCCAGTCTATAAGATGGTGCCCAACCCGTGAAATCACATGGCATCAGAACGCTACCCGCGCGATTTACCGCGGGACTCGAAAAGTAAGCGTTTTCCTTCGTCAAACGCAATTTTGAAAACGAGTAAGACTGAGTCGTTTTTCTTGTGGAGCTGAGTATGCGTTGTATCTTGAATTGCCACTTGACACGACTTGCTTCTGATACTCGCTCAGAGGGGGATTCTAGTCGTATGTTTTTTTTAGTGGGGAGAAGGGTTGGGGATTTAGGGAGAAGTGGCTACAATCTTGGACATAATGCACTAATCAGCGGAAAGCCCAGCACCTCCCCCCCCCACCCCTACCCAGGGAATGCGGCGCAATAGCGGGACATTTTAGCGATTTTAGACTTTCACTTCACAGGGGTCCCAGACTTACAACAGCCCTACTGGAGGCCAAATTATAAGGTTTTGTCTGGGAATTTATCGTAAGATCGGTAAAACTAACAGGTGTTAAAGCATACATTCCTCATAAAGAGTTGTGTCTGTGTCGTTTTGTTATTGTTTCCTGCCCTATAAACGCCATTTTAGCAAGTTTTAATGTTTTGGTTTCTCAGCTGGCGGGAAACAGTAGGAAAACAACGCAGACAAAACTCTTTATGAGGTACTGTAAAATTCCAAAAATAAGCCCTTCCATTTATAAGCCCGTCCAAATATAAGCCCCCCAAACCGGTTACGCAAAAAACCCTCCGTTAAATCGCTCCTCTAAATATAAGCCCCCCGGGGGCTTGTACTTGGAAAATTGCCGTCCATCACAAAGTAAAACAAAGCAAAAACGGTAAATTTAATCCTAACTGTAAGGCTAGCCCAATCGATTTTGAAACGCAAATTTCCCTCCGTAGATAAGCCGTCCGAATATAAGCCCCTCCAAAAATAAGCCCCTCAAAAAGGACCTTTGAAAAGTATAAGCCCCGGGGCTTATTTTCGGAATTTACGGTATGTATACTTTGATAGCTGTTTATGCACCTTTTAACCGTTTTATCGATCTTACGATAAATTCCTATGCAAATCCTTATAATTTGGCTTCCAGTAGACTGTTGTGAGTCTGGATTTCCTGTGGTCGGTTTTGCACAGTGTGCGGGGTTTTCGATAGTATTAGACACAAGTATCAGCGCCTGAACGGAGACCATTAGTAAGGCTTAACAGAAGCAGTAAATCATAATCTTTATTCTTAGACGAAATGACATGAATATTGTTCTGGGTCAGGGCGTATACTTCTGGAGGGCTCACGTAACTATAATCACTTGGAGAGATCTTGAAGTTTGGACTGCCAATTCTGTAACTCAAGATAGATTATCATTCAATTTTACAATTGAGGCTATGTGAGAAGTGAACAGCACTGTTGACTTTACTATTTGTAAAAGTCCAATTCGAGGAAAAAAGTATTGTATTGCCCCGTGTGCTGGGAACAAAAGTGACGTTTTGACGCACGAAATTGTTCCGCACAGTGGGGAATTTGCTTCAGTAGAAGGCAGGCCTGGTGTAATGCCCCACTATTCCCCGGGTATAGAGGTGCGGGGCTTTCCACTGACTACTGCATAATACACTGAGAATCAATAGCGCCCATCTCTTGGTCTTCATTACCGTGCGAGCAGAGGCGCGAAAGATTTCACAAATGCTAAAGGACATGCCGGCCGGAAAGAAACCTCTGCGCTTACAGGGTAACTCTCCTTGGACAGGGATGGGAAAATGGTACGCCCGACTTCATCCGCGATTTTGGGCGGGGTGGTGGTGGTAGTGGTGGTGGGGGGTGGGGGTGGGTGGGGTTCTTCCCCTATTTTTTGGTTTCAGATTGTAACCATTAGGCCCGGTAAAAAGCCCACCCCTTTCCTGAAAAAAAAAGTTAATTACAGAAAATAACTGCAGTTACTTTGGACGGGTGTTTTACATCGATGGCTTCAGCTGCTCATGAAAAGAAAAGTAATAACAGCCAAGTGAGGTACGATAATTTAATCTTTATTTATGCCGGAAGCCCATTTTATGCATAATTTCATAGCCGCGAATGGGGCAGAACCGCCTCGACTTCCCAGCCATCGGCCCTAGACTGCGAGCAGTCTCGTTTTCAGCGAGACCGACTAAATTCAGCTCGACCGTCTAAAAAAGTGAAACCGGCCCCTCTTAAAAACCCTGAATCTATCTCTGTAACTGGTGGTAGCAGAAAGAATGCCTCGGGTAAGCTCTTAGGATGTGAGCAAGGCGGTAGAAACAAATAATTAAATTTGAGGAATTACTCAAAGATGAACGTTGTAATGCCGGCCCAAAGGCCAAACTTGAATCACCACATAATTGAGCGTTTCCTTTGCCTTCCTGATCACAACATGAGATCACGATCCTAAATCCAGTTCACGCTAACAATGAGTTCACCAAGATCTGCCAAGGAAGGATAATGGAACACTCAATGATATCTCATTCTTTCTTTTTCCTATTTTATACTTCTGTGTACTTTTTATATATTCATATATTTTATTTATATTTCTATTCAATCAGGAGCCACTATAGGCCATTTGCACTAAGAGGCATGTGACATCGTTTTTATGAAAATGAAAGTTATATGATTTTGCCTTCGAAAAACGATTAGTGGGTCATATCTTAAACAAAATAATGGTGATTTGGTTTTTGAAACCCGCACCATTTTCTTAAAATGAATAATTTCGTAAATGGTCACGTGACCAAAATGTGATTTTTAAAATTATGAATTACCTCTCTCTGAACACAAATTTTGCACTTAAACTTCAAGGAAAATGTTGAAAAGATGATGTCATAACGTTTACAGCACATCTGAGCGTAACTATGAAACGCTGAACGAGATACAAGCAAGAAGTAGTTTTGGCCGCCATGTTGGAGGGCAAGAGCATGCCCTCCAACATGGCGGCCAATATAAATCATACTACTTTGCTGAAAAATCAAAGTGCCATAAAATATTTCCCATAAATGCGTTTCCTCTCAAATTTCGGGTGTAAGATACTTTTTGTATGCTCTAACCATTTTTGGCATCAGCAAGATTCCAACTCATTGTTTAAAGGAAGCATTGGTCACGTGACCTCTTAGTGCAAGTGGCCTATTATCGAACGATTCGATACACATCAAGTACCTCTCAGTGACGTATACAGGGGAGGAGTCTCAGTTGTGGTCAGTGAGGGGCCAGTCCTTCGACTAACACTAGCCAGTCTGTTTCAGGTTCTGAGATAGTCCGTCCAGAGCAGCGGAATAAAACGGGACGAAACTGGGGAGAGGAAGGGTGTGTTTTTCTCTCTCCCTTCCTTTTTCCCGCCATATTTTCACCTGCCTTTCACTTACGCGTCACGCCTTCTATCTAAGAACCTGTAACAGGCTAACTTAACACAGGACCGCAATACTGAGGAAGACTTATTTGAGTTCTTCATTCCTTGCGTAGCCCGCGAGCAGGCTGATCTGCGCAAGTTCGGGGAAACGTTTGGCGGCGGAGCCCTCATCGCGCGAGGAAACTCGCACGCCGAGTGAGCCTGACCGCAGGCTAATCCTTGTGAGTGTCTTGTGATCCAGCCAGTCTTTACTCAAATTCTGGATTAGCCACTGAAGGCAAAATTATTGAGTAGCGCCGTTTATTTTATCTGAATTTTCTTCTGAGTGTTGTTACTTTTTTCCATTTGTTTGATTTCGCCTCCCGACGACATGATGAACAGACCAGGAAACTTAGCCAAAGACCATTGTTAGGCCGCCTATCATTGTGCGTTGTATCATATCAAATGCCTTTGATATTTCGCTGATATTTGCATGTGCATAGTTCGCGGATCGTCTTATGTAGAATTGAATAAAAATACTTTCGTGCTCCCAGAGGTACATTTAAAGCATGTTTCTTTCATTTACCATTTTCATAACGTTGCCGATGGAAAAAGTGACGTGCCAACCTGGTACAAAGCTGACTTTGAAGCAAGACCAACACCCAAGGAAATCTGGGAACTAGCAGATCATGTGATCTGTTTAAGCCAATAGCAGAACAAATAGCACACACGTTTTACCTTGCATTGGTCTCCATGAACAGGAAGTTTGGGATCTTCATCACAGTGAAAATTTGTCTTCTTGTAGAGTTTTTTACGGCATAATAGCTTACAGAGGGGATGGCATTAAAAAGGATCAATAAGGTAAGGATCAAGGGTATAACAGAGCCGTTTTTTCGAAGGTTTGAAGGTATTTAGTGAACGGTTTGCTACACGGTAACTCTTGCGACGAAAGCTGTATGGATGGGCCGGCCAAGGTGCCATTTTTTTCGTTGTGGTTGTCAAGAGTATTTTAGCTCTCTGTAAACTTTGGATATCTCTTTATTAGTTAATCTTTTAAATTTTCAAATTGATTTTTCATCTTTATTTTGATATTTCAGGAACTTCAAGATCTTGGAAGGGATCCGCCAGCACAGTGTTCAGCCGGACCGGTTGGCGAGGACTGTAAGCGAAATATGAATATGTTGTATTTGATTGAGTTCAAAGAAAACCTTTTGTAGTCAAACTAATCTTGCCTTTACATGTAACTTTGCTCATTAGTTTTGATGTTTAAATATGACTGTTTTATCCAGACTGATTATTTGTATGCTCTGCTCATAAAAATGCCTTTTCTTTTTCTCCTTTGACATCGCGTGTACTTTGAAGTATTTCATTGGCAAGCGACTATCATGGGGCCGGTAAGGAATGCTTACTTGTTTTAAAACTGAAAATTCACAGAAACATTCTTAATAAATTGTTTCATAATGCTATTGCACAAAGTTGGTGTTAATTTCTGTGTTTCGTTGTTTCCTCGCGAACAGCCCGACAGCCCTTACCAAGGTGGTGTATTCTTCCTTACGATACACTTTCCAACAGATTATCCATTCAAACCTCCAAAGGTAGGCGCCTAAAATATTAGTTTAGACTAACATTTATGCTGTTAAGATTATTCTGTAACCTCTGTTGTGTTGTGGGCAAAGTACAGCAGAGTATAAGAGGTGTAAAAAGTAGTGAATCTATCACGTACGTGAACTTCTACTCTGTGTTTCAGCCTACTGTTCTTCCGGTTTCCACTTAACTGCGATCGATCCTTTGCTTTGTGTTTGTCTCATTCAACTCCATAAATGTGAAAAAAGTGCTTTGATAAGCATAACTGCTTCTGCATTTTGTGTAGCAGTCGGTAAGTGTCAAACGTTCGTTTTGTTTCAACGTGAGACACGTTTCAAAGACTGTACTTACTAGTTTTCGTAATGTACACATTTCGTGGTCCCCTCAGGAATATAGCCAGTATTGATTTGCTTTTTGTTGATTAGTGAGCTGGCCTTCCTTATTATAATCGACGCAAACCGTTTATACTAAGGTTTCAAAATGTTATAATGAAATGATCATACACCAGTGGTATCATCAGTGATATTGCTCAATCGATCTTTTCAAGGCTAGTTTTCTAACTGACTTTTGCATAGACACAACACGGCGAAACGTAAAAAGTTGTCGAAGCCATTGTGGTGAAGTAATGTCCTCTATAAAATAAAGGAATTGTACAATGTTATCAGATGTTTGATGTCAGCTTTGCTGTTGCATAAGTTGTAATTTTTACTTAGAAAATTTGCTCTGCCATCTCGATTAGTATTCTATCACTGAATTGAGTAATTTATTGAAATTTTCTTGGACATGCTGTCTATGATTTGCATTCATTGGCATTCATGTACCATGTTAAGCATTGTTGGTTTGGTAGTTCAAAAAGGGAATATACAACTTTTTTTGCTCTGCCATTGCAAAACAAGTCGCTCAAATAAAGACATCGTCTTGTGTAACACCCCCTGAAGTGTGTCTCCCAATGCTCATGTTGCATTAATCTTTATGTGACACAAAAGTATTGCAAACCATGTTCATGCCAGGAGGTGATGCACTGGGCAATTTTACTTGGAACTTGTGTCACAATCAAATGGTGAGACAAGTAACAGTAGAATAATGGCCCACATTGTAGTGTGACAGGAACTAAAAGCTAAAAGTGCTATTGGTTTTATTAATGCTTATCCAGTGCAAAGTATAAAGAGGCTTTTTTTTACCATAATACTGTTTGTTTTCCTTCAAAAATTTTGTATAATTATTTTCAATTTTTCTTGGAACTTGCAATCGCCCCTAAGAGAAATTGTACGAGTAATTATGCAAAATTTTGAAATGAAAACAAAGGGTATTATGGTATTTTTGTAAAACGTTACCCTTCGGGTAAGCAAGTCTTCAGTTTTACTTGCCTGGTTCATTTTCTTGCTTTCCTACTACGTTGATTGAGGATTCCTCTGATCAGCTTTTGTCAAGACCACGACCAATTTTGTCACAGTCACAGCTACTATTTTTGGTGAAGTTTGAAAGGAAAATATTGCATTAAAATTGGAGAAACTGACTGACAATACATAGGCTTAATGTACTGCAGCGTGAAAAAAATACGACGAGTTTATAAACCACGTGGACCATGCAATAATATGACCTGGGAAGAATTTGATCAGTTCTCACCAGTTTATGAGTTCCTCTGCCCTTTTTCTACCTTTCCAAGACAAAAATGATCTTCATTTCATCAACACTTGACTGAGTAATGGAAAAGTTTTCTTTGAAATACTTAGAAATGATTGTCTGGATGTTTATGATCAGTAGCTCTTAGCACCCAGGTATTCCAACATTAACACTTTCGAGTCCACTCCACTGACTTTCAGGAAGAAACCCTTGTCACGAATTATTAAGTAAAATTGAGTCACTGAATAGAACTTAAGTTGCATGTGCCTTTTTTCCATGTAGTTTACTGGTAATTTCTGCATTGTACACTTACAGTGCGTGTATGTAGTGGAATATTTTTAAAAATTGATGGAAATACCTTGCTTTCGATTGCTTCTTAGAGTAACGCACCTTTGGCAGTCATCATCACCTTTACTTTCATTTCAGTCGAAGTTGCAGGCACTTATATTGCAAACAGAAACGGTCGGTTATTTAAAAGAAGTCTAACTTAGACCACTGTTTAAGAAATCTTTGGACTTCTGGATCTCTTCTTTAGCAGGGCTCGAAATTGCGACTGATCAGTCGCCAATGCGACTAACATTTTCTCCTTGACGACTAAAAATTCTAGTTTAGTCGCCAAAGTGGCGACCAGATCTCATGTTATCCTGCTTTGCTTTTTCATCATAAAAAATGTGCCAAATCGCATAAACAAAGCCAGTTTACCTCCAAATTTATACCGACTTCTATCCACGATATTTTCAAATCTGATGGATCGCACGATACTGTGCAGGGCTTCTGATAGGTCGCGGAAAAAAAGTCAAATTTCGCGGGATTTCAGGGGCAAATTCACAGAAAAATCGACCGATTTCGCAGGAATTTTCGGGGCAAACTTAGCCGAAAATCAGTTGGTCAAAAAAGGCCGATTTTGTGGTTATTTTCAGGGAAAACTTCGTTTGAGATCTATCGGTTTTGTGCTGACCAGACCAGTGTTTGTAATATTTTTCTATAGAGGTCATCATTTGCTCTTTCATCAACAATACGCTCTAGAACTGAACCAATAGCAAAGCCTTTAACATCATGGCTAGTGCCCAGTTTTTCGCAACATAATCTACGCCTAGTAGTTTCGGAGTTTCGGGACGTTTGCACGTTTCAGTGACGAAGTTTCAAAACAAATTTACAAGTTTACGGCAAGTAAATAACCCCAATAGCTGAGAAAAGTTTCAAATATGTTGTACAGACATGTATTTGATAAGATTTCTAGCAAATTTCGCAGTATTTTGCGTGTTTTTGTGATTTTCGCGGCCTTGCGACGGCGTCAAATATCAGAAGCCCAGACTATGAGCAGCGTCATTTACATTATACAAACTGGCGACTAAAAATTTGCATCTGGCGACTATATTTCTCTAGTTGGTCGCCAAAAGGTGACCTGAGAATTTTTTTGAATTTTGAGGCCTGTTTAGTGGGTCAATTTAAGAAGTTAGATGCTTTTCTAGTCTACACCATATGCTTTAATGCAACTGTTCACAATAAATGGTGCTTAGATGAAAGAGTTAGGCAAAGAGCCAAACTGAAAATGACTTAGAGCGCGTTTGTTTAAACCCTTGTTAAACTCCGTTTAAATAACCAGCCCAAAATGTTTTGTTCATTCTAGGAACAATGGCACAAAAATGAAGTAATTTCTTTTTCACAAGCTTTCTTGAACCCATTAAAGGTGGCAGCTTGTCCTTTCCCTTGCCTGTTGGACAAGCTAGCCAGGAAAGTAACTTGCCTAAGGCCAAAAACTACTTGTCCTGAAATTGGGGAAATTCCTCTCATATAAAGGTTCAACCAAGCTTAAAAGTGGAGCTTCTTTTGAATACTAACCATTCATTGAAAGCAATAAACTTGATAGAGTGATTTTCGTATGACCTTAAAATGAAAATGCGCAAAAACAAAACACAAACAACAAATGAATGGAAATAGAGCGATTTGATTCGTTTATTGAACAGGTCAAACGCGCGTGGCTTTTGGTTGGTTAAGCGAACGCTCGGGTGAAAAAACTTCATGCCCGAGAACTTTCTAGAAAACAATCAATACTTCGCTTTGAGATCATACTGCAACACGATTGGCCAATTGAACAATTCCTTCTCCATATTAGGGTTTTCTTTGGCAGGAAAATGAAGAGTCCATGTTTTAATCTTTTCATCCATTGGCTGATAAAACAAATAACCAACACTTACAGGAGCTATTTTTCAAGGTCATATGATAATCGCTGATAACAATAAATGCATGTAGAAATGCACCAGTCTTATTGTTTCATGGCATCCTACTGAAGAATGGTTATGATGTTTGCCGTCTGTTCCCTTGCTAATGTACTTATACCCTTGTACCCTTGCTGTCTCATTGACAGAAATTCCATACTGATGATGTAAATCAATGTTTACGTAATTAATCTGTTAGTCATTGGATTCCAGATGCAAATTTGTTCAATGTTATGTTTCTGCTGGTCGATTTTGGTAAAGTTTTGTGTTCATCTGCGAACGAGCTCCAGCAAAGCTCAAATGCTTCTTCTAGAGGGAAATATAGTCCACAAATATCAACTGTTTTGTTATTATTAGATTCATTGCGTTTACATTTGACCTTTGTGGCCTCATCTTTTGTCTGTCATTCGTAAACTATGGCTAAAATAATATAACTACTACGTCAACCAATCAGAGCTCCTGACCAGATTCCAGACATTACGTCATCAGTATGGAATTTCTGTCGCTGAGACGTAGACATCTCTACTGGTGAAAAATCCCAAGTGTTGAGGAGCGAGGACACTCCATGACATGTTTTAGCTAATAGGGTGATCAAAGAAGAATGCAAATTTATTAAATAAATCTTAGTTCTTGAAAACTGTTATTTGTCCTTAAAAAATCCTTGAAATTTGTTTGTCTAAAGTTGTACATGTATGAACCATACATTGTTAACTTTGTTCAGTCACTTCTTCCTGTGAGGCCTTGTTACAGCTGTAAGGCACCTCTTTGGTCTGAAGTCGATTTCCTCAGGATTTTTGTTGATACAGCTTGAAAGAATGAGGTCATTGACCAGCATTCTTTAGCTCATAAGGTGTCCGAGGCAGTGCTTAATTGTGGGAGACAAGAGGAGACAGCAATCCTAATCCTAGCCAGCAATTGTTTGAACTTCCAAGAATGAACAGAATGCACAGAATGCAGTTTGATCATTCAATCACTCATAATCTGATCAGCCTTGTTTTGACTATCTGTCACGTTAAACATATGCAAAGTGCAGCAATGGAGAAAAGCGTTTTGACCTTCGATCATTGTCGCCTGCACTCCATAACCTTTGGTTATTACTAGTACTGTAAAGTTTTAGAAATTTTCCTTTTGTATAGAGTAGTCTTGAGTGAAAATGATATTTGAAATGATTTGTGTTATTTCTTCCTTAATTTTAGGTTTCATTTACTACCAAAATATATCATCCTAACATAAACAGTAATGGAAGTATTTGTCTTGACATTCTGCGATCACAGTGGAGTCCTGCACTAACAATTTCTAAAGGTATGTTACACATTTACCCTTATTAGGGCTGCAATGGTACATTTTCCCATGGTACACATACAAATTGCACTCTAAGGGCCAGGATACAGTATATGAGGAAATATAGCCTGCATGGCTGGCAGTTTTTTGTAAGTAAGAGATTCAGCAATGCGAAAGCTGAAACGAGGACGAAAAAAAAAAAACGATTGAGGAGGATGTGAGGGGAGAAGGCAGTGAAATATTAAGCTAGTGTCCCTTTCCTTTTCCGGGTCAAAATAATCGGACAAATTTAACTTTTTGTTTTAAAATAGATATTTTCTTATTCCTTTTCATTCAAATTGCCTGTTAAACAACATTTAAGTGTTTTTTTTTCTTTTGAAACCTGGTAAACAATGTAAATTAACCCTGGTAAAAAATGTAAATTAATCGCATAATTTATCACATAATAGTTCTATCTTATCACACAATCTACCCTAAAAATATCGCACAATTTCTGATTTTTTATCACACTCTATCAGATGGCCTGTACAACTGACATATAAGTGAGCACGAATTGTTTGACACCTTGTTCTTAACCTTGAAAGTTGAGAAGCGTGTGAAAGAGGGATGGTTTGCTTTTTTTATTTGTTTTCACCACAAGTGGCCTTAGAAGGGCTAAAATCAAAGGTTTTGTAGGGAATAGTTGAGACAGTGATTTCACAAACTCATCAATGAAGCATTTTCATTCTATACACTGTAATATTGACATTTGCTTTATCTGTTTTAAGCCACATTGAAAATCTGTTTTGTGGGTTTTACTCTTAAATATGGCTGTTTTTCGGCTTTAGTGTCCTGTTGGGGCGATAGCTTTTCCTTTTAAGAATGTTCTGTTTTTGGTTTATGATAAGAAAAGTAGTTTTTCAGTTTCTGTTGTTTGCTTACAAGTTCTGCTGTTTGGTTTGTTTAAACATTGGTTACAAGGACAGATACTCCTGTTGTTGGCCAGCATGATTCACATTTTTACGGTGCAACAAACTCAACCAGGGCCACCGTTAACACCAATTTAAGAATTGTTCTGATTCTTGAATGCCATTCATTCTTAAATAAACCAGTAATGTCATGCCAGATTGTTAGGAATGTGACCTGTGATTTGCTTAGTAATATTGGGTGGCACTGCTTGAGTTTGGTGCACTGTATGGAAGTCTCTATCACGAGCCATATAACAACAACAACAACAATAACAACAAGCTTTACTTGCATGACTATAATAGATAAAGACAAAAGCTATTTATGCTATCCTTGTGATTTCACAAACAAGTGCTCCACTATGTTGCAGTGAAACCTGGTTAAATGTATAATGAAGAGCCAAGGGACTGACAAAATTTGTTTGCTAAAAGAAGGTTTTGCTATATCAAGGTTTTTTCTATATATCTTACTATTACTGGGGTAAAGAGAATTGTTATACCGAGGACTTCATTATTTAGAAGTTCCATCGTACTAGAAAAGTATAATGTTATTTTTTCCTTTTCTCGTTTAGTTCTTTTGTCAATATGTTCATTGCTTACTGATCCAAATCCTGATGATCCATTGGTGCCAGACATAGCACGCATTTATAAGACAGACAGGGACAAATATGGGGAGACAGCAAAGGAATGGACCCGGAAATATGCCATGTGAACATCTAAGGACTAAAACTGATATTTTTTCTTTGGCAAGGCTCTGTGAAGTCTTGCAACTCTTTAAGACTATGTAAAAGGTAATTTCCAGTGTTGTCATTCTGTAAGGTTAAGTTCCTTTTATGTGCTGTGATTGAGTGGTTATACTTGTTGTTAACATCTGCCTTAATGAAGATTTGAAAGAGCACTTATTGTACTGAATGTATAGTTAGCTGTTTTTCCTCTTTTGTTGTAAAAGTGCCTGAAATCCAATTCAGATCTTGATTAATGTAGGCCTAAATGATTGCTCTTAATGTGCTGTCGTGTTAATGATTGTTTTTACTTTTGTGTTGTTGTATATATACATATAAATGCAGTTGCTGGTAAATATGTCATCACTTTCAATCTCTTCTTCAACATGCAAATTCTCCTTAAATCACTTCTTTTGAGAGTGTTGTTTGCCAGTTGTTTAAAATAATTTTCAAGTATACATTTGTATATCACAAGCACTTGTTTCGTTGATAGCATTAGTCAAATAATTAGATCAATATTTAAGGAGAGTTTAGATGTTGTCATCATATGAAGGTTGTAATTGCTTAAACCTACTTTTTTACTATCACAGTTTTGTATCAGTTATGCGGTTTGCATGTTGTCCAACAGAGACATGACTAATGTCTAAAGAGGCAGTGGTGTAGTTTGTTACTGGCAGTTGATGGGTGAAATACCATCCCTAAGAAAACCCTCGCTGTTCATAATGTTTAACTGTAATAATACTGAAGATTCCTGCAAGTGCAATACATAAGTATTGAGCAATTACTAAATTGTCTTTTTGTCGTGTGGAAATACATTTGTATTGTATAAACAGATAATTTAGCAATTGACTTTGCAGCCTTAGATTTTGCTTCCTTTGTACTGTACTGGGTAAGGGCTTGTGGCTACCTAGCCTGCGTAGCTAGCAGGATTAGCAGGAAAGTGCTGTAGTTTTTTGGTGGTAGCGCCATGTGAAGATTGGGAGCAAGTTGGTTAGCTCTGCAGCCAAGAAAACACCTTGGGCACACAATCCCCCCAGCTATGCAGGCTAGTGGCTACCTTCTGATCCCTCTGGCATAAGTGCTAGTAATATAGTTACTTTTACCATCTAAGAGAAATACCACGTGCCCGGCTTAAAGAGAAAAACGGTGTTATGAAGTTAGCTACATCATGTGGTGTCGAGTAAGAAAATAAAAGAAATCTGTGAGGATAGGAAACTTATTAAGTTCCAACTTGTTGGTTTAAGCATTAAATTATGTATTCTTTTACACAGCATGTTGTAGCTTCTTTTTCATTGATTTTGTAGTTTTTTTAGCAATGGGTTAATGGTTGTAGTCCACTCATCCAGTGCTTTACATCTTTTTCCTCAGTAAAAGTCGGTAACCCTTAATTAAAACCCCAATATCCACATGGAGATTCTCCAGAGTCCCCATAAGAATAAGTCGAGAGAATTTGATGAAAGCTCAAAGCATTTTCGCTTTGTTGATCATTTCATTAGTTATCTAACCTTTGATCTTTGCGATGTGTGAAGATTGTTGGGAGAAAATTGATGTTGGTCACTTCTGGGACTTAAAGGGTTCAATGGGGTTTTCTTTCTCAGTTGGTGACTTTAAAAGGGTTAGTTGTATACAGGACTGTCTATATCTTGTCAGAAGAAGAAAACCCTCTCCAACCAGTTACCACAATCAATGTGAAAAAGACTCCTTAATCACAGTGGTAACAACAGCGTCCCCTGCACCCCTACCTGGTAGGGTCGTAATGGTCACAGGGATCATACTTTTCAGGGAAACTGCCCACCTACCCCTCCCCTAAGCCAACATTTTGCCCTACGTGAGAAGTAAATGTTAATGTCGGCATTGGGGAGGGTTAGGTTGGGCAGTTTCACAAAACAAGTTTGGTGTTAACCAACTAGAGACTCTTGGTGAACATGGTTTTATGGGGAGGGTACACTTCCTGATTCTTTCAAATTTGACAGCACTGTCCCCATATTAGTGTCCTATTACATCCCTCTTTTCTCTTTCAAACAACCATCTTCTTACAACAACCGGTTACCGTTTTGAAGAGAGGTTGCAGTGCCTGATCTAGTCTCCTTCGCAGCCGTTATTAGGGGCGTCACTCGTCACGCAACGCGTGACGAGTGACGACCCTAATAACAGCTGCGAAGGAGACTATGCCTGATCCAGACCCTGAGATAAGGGGGAGGGGACCAGTCGTCCAGACCCTTAGATAAATTGGGGGCCCGGTCCCCCTCCAAAATTTTTTTCGGCCCTTCGGATCCAAAAAACATTACGTCTAAATTAAAAAAGCTCCCTTGTAATAACTCCTATAAGCAATACAAACTGTACCTTTTAAATACCCAAGGAGTACGTTACTCGTAGTTTTATGTATATGTTTACGCCACTTAGTTGCACGTGTGAATGACCAACTGGAAAAACTAACTCCTTTGGTCACGGCGCACATTTCACCTTTGATGAGTTATGTATTTTGTTGTAGTGTAACGTTTGTAGTAATCTCTTGAAAAGGTGCAAAAAAATAAAAAAATCTGAAATCTGAATCTAATCTGATATACACGTAACGAGCCAGGGCGGGGGTGGGAGCTACTTGGGTCAATTTTTCTGGGTATGCGTCGATGGCCTCCCAGAACCCCTACCCCATTATAGTCTACTGTGTGAACAATTATAGACCCCATCTTAGCTATTTGTGACCCCATTCTACAAACTCTTATGAAAATGTAACCCTACTATATAGTCAATTCAGTCGTAAAAATGCGACCCCATCCAGCAGCATATCCCCATTAGCCTATTACTAGTAGCCTTGGAATGCAGAGGTGCACTCACTCGACGGTTGACACCGACTGGTTCTTTCTTGTCGGATCTCTAATGTAGAGATGCTAGAGCTATACGTCACTTGAGAGGAAATTAAAAAACAAAACTGAATGCAATGCTGGCAATACAGTAAAGGGCTGATTTATTTGAGGCCAGTATTTCCTCCCAAGACGAAGCTTTTGGCACAAAGTGTCCGTCTTATAGAAGTATAGAGTCAAGTAAAGGGAAAGGCAGGGATGGACCAACTATTGGTGTCCGTTTCATAGAGGTGTCTGTTAAGAGAGAGTCGACTGTATAACGGCCGTTATAGTAGTTTCTATCAATGTAGCTCTGACCCTAAGGAAGGCTAATTTTGTAAGCCGATATATTGGCCTTTAATAAATAAATCAGCCCTCTTCTGTTGCCAGCTGATTGCATTCAGTTTTGTTCCTATCAAGGAAGTAGCCTCCTCGGGGTAGCCTCTCATGAGAACGTCTGCGTAAGAGGCTATCCCCCCGGGTGGGGGGGGGGGGGGGGGGGTAGGTGCATGTCACTGCCTCACGGTACACGTGAGCATGCCTGCCACCTAGCTCTTCCTTTTTTTTTTTTTAAATCTACCGGCACCCCCAAAGTTTACCCTCTTTCCCCACCCCGCCCCTCTCCCCTTTTTTTTAATTTTTTTTTTTCTCTAAAAGAGAGGGCCCCCCCGGGGGGTGCCCCCCATGAAGAGGGGGTGGAAAAGGGCCCCCCCCCCCGGGGGGGGGGGGGGGGGGGAGTGTAAGTGGACCCTACTTCTAAAGAAAATCGTCAAAAGTAGCAGTCCATAATAACAGCAAAATTTTTCACTGGAAGCGATTTTCTTCATTAGGCGTGTCCACTTTCAACGGGACTGTGAGTGTGTCCCATTTACCGGTATGTGAAATGCTTTAGTAGATTCCCTATCCCTAACTTTAGGTCTTCTAAAGGGTAGTTTAGGGTAGGGAATCTGTTAGAGCATTTCACAACAATGCTTACTTCGTTTACCTGCCAGCCTGCAAGCTTGCAGTCTGTGTATATCGCACACCGCCCATCTACCGGCTTAGTGGGCGTGTTTTAAATCTAGACAAATACTCCGCAAAAAGATGCAAGGAGGCGAGCAACAGTATTTCTCTTAAATTGCTCCTTAGTAAAGTCTCTTCCAACTTTGCTGTTTGCGAGCAAACTTTCTTTTAATCTGTCAATTTTTAGTAAGAGCACGCCGCCTACGGGCGATGATTGAAACTTTTTTTACAAAGAACGGGAAGGACTGGGTCGGGTAGTCAAAGCTTCGTCTTTTGAAAGGAACCTGAAACTAGTCACGATTCCAAGATGGCGGATCACGAAGAACAAGAATTCACTACTTCAAAGCGAGCTCGTTGGTCATCAGAGAGTTCTTGCGATCAGAATACTAGCTTTGTAGACACCATAGATCAAAGAGAATCAATTGAGGGTTCTCTTTTACGTCTAATTGAGTCTGAACAAAATTATTTGGTCGAAAGTCAACCGTCGGAAATAGAACAACATGGCGTCCATGTTTCATCGGATAGACTCGAAAGCGACGATTTCCCGACCTGTTTTAGCGTCGAAGACGACTTAGATGATATAGATGAACACCATTTTCAACCAGTAGCAGGTAATAAGAATTTTTATGCCCTGAAATCACTATGAATGTTGTCATTTACTACTATCGCGTGTCCGCCATTTTGTTTTAAATTGTTTCAAGGTGAACAATAACAATTTTATTGCTGAACTTTATCCTTTCCAGCATAATTCCCATCAAATACCATATTTTCTTTCAAAGAAAAGGTGTTGTGCAACGATATCTAAACATTAAATAACCAGTCCAGCTACAACATGAAGTACACACCCAACCACTCTAGTCTGCTACACAGCCATTTTTAGTGTCGTCACGTAACTTGCCTCCCACAAACGGCTGCTGAGAATCGAACCACATTCCTTTCACTTTGTATTTGTGGTCTAAAGAACGAACCAATCTTGGATAAGAACCTAACAATACGTGAACTGCAGGGCACTAGGAAGGGAAAATGCTTCTCAATTTTCGACAAATCAATCAATCATCGCTAAATTTGGATGCGCTCTGTGTCTGCAAGCAACGAAAAGGTTAATTTGCAGAAAAGTTTGTTTTAAGCGGTTAACAAAGGTCCAAGTGAAAAAAAAGTTTGATAGACCAACAGGACTCTTACCAGGATCTCATAAATTTTGACTAGGACTTGACTATGACAACACTACTCTAGTTAGTTACTTGTTTTCACGTGATGATTTTGATTGTTCTGTCATTCACACATGGGGCACCAATAGAGGCAAAGCTGCCCTGCAAACGTGGTGCAAACACCTTCCAAAAAAAGGAAGCTGGATTCTAATTGGTTAACTGCAGGAAGAAATGTGGTTCAATTCTCAGAAGCTGTTTGTGGGGAGGAGCATTGCATGACAACACTAAAAGTGGCTGTGTAGCAGACTACAACCACTCCTCCCCCTCCATAATATTCTTCATACAAGGCCCCATATGCTCCACTGCAGAATTCATGCACGAAAAAAAAACAGCAACCTTTTTGGAGACTGTTATTTCACACTCATAAAAAGATCTCAAATAAATATTTGCAAATGTTTTACATTGGTAAAATTCATTCATAAATTGTTTGTGTTTCCCTTTTACAAGAACACTTGTCTTGCAACTTACCTTTGGCAAATTTGTTTACTTCAAGGTCCCATGGGCTGGATCCAGCGTCAGATGACTCTTGGTATTAATCCTGAAGATATTTTGGCTTATATGCTACCCCATACCCAGCTGGTAAGACAGGATTAGTAGATTACTAGTGTTGTATATATGTAATATGAAGTTTGACCCATTTGCTCCTGAACTGCCTGTAATTGCCTGTGCGGATCCACGTCCCTTCTTTTGTTGTGACATCATCAGTTTTAATGGTTAAGGACAACTATGTCCACTAACTTGTGCAGAGTGAAGAGATCTTTCAAACCATACCAGAATGAACACAATTCAGTCAAGGATAGTGGAGAAAAAGGCAAAAAATCTTGTAACATTGACCTGATAACTTTCATGAAAATCTTTGTCCACTAGCCATCTACCTTTCTTTTCATCTAATCCGATCCTAAAAGCTTTCCCAAAAAATTTTCCCATCAAAATGAAGTCTACTAAATGCCCAGTAAAAGAGAAAAAATGAGGCAAGAAAAAATGAAAAAAGAGGGGAGGAGAGAAAGCGAAAAATAAAAGTCAAGACTGCTGTGTCGCTTTCAAACCCCAAAACTATGTCATAATTTTGCTTTCTGCGCATGCCCGAACTTCCCAAGTTAATATTAATTTGCATCTGGATTAGAAGGCCATGTTGTGTATGACCTGTAAATTGCTTTCTGGTGAGTTTGAGCTCTTTATAGGAAGGCAGTAACCAGAAAACAACACAAATATCTTCAAAACGCATTAAATTTCCAGGGGCAAATGGGTTAGATACATATAATTATACCTGTATAAGCATTTTGTGTTTTGATAGTAGTTTTTATAAAATATTGAAAATAATGATTTTAATTTTTCAAATTCAATAATATTGAACCTGCTTTATCATTGGCACTGTTATGGTTTTCTCCCAACTCAAGCATGTATTCCAGTTAACTGGACAAGAATTTATCATGTTCCTTGGAACATAACTCCTTGACTTTTAAGGGTGAACAAACTTACTTCCACTCAATCAGCTTAGACGTCTTGCACCAATGAAAATCCTTGTATCAACAAATTATACTGTTTTTACAGTCATGACAAAAAGAATTATTTTATGATTTGTTTTAATTCTCCGAGGTGAGCATCAGTGAGTACGAGTAAACAAAATGGACTGTTTCCCTTCTGTCAGTATCCTGACAACATTTTGTATTTTATTGTGTATTAAAAAGTTAAGTAAATAAAATTAACCTTTTACATTAAGCAACCCAAAATTTCAAGCCTAGTTAAGTTTACATGTTGTTGGCCAAATTATTTGGTTTTTACTCATTTGCATAGTATTTTACAAGTGGATGCAGTAGAAAAATGTAAACTTGGTGGAAACAAGTATGTCATTCATATTTATTTAATTTGTTACCCAAGTTTTAATTGCTTTGCAGCCTCCTGCCTTGGACAAGGGAACCTTGTGGAAAGTCATCATTGATATCCTTACAGAGCCCACCCCAAGACAAAAACTGGACCACATCAACTTCCTGGATGATGTTGTGGAGCTTCTTCGAGGATCAAAGAACGTTATTGTTCTCACAGGGGCCGGGGTATGTTATCTGTGATTTGTCTTCATTAACAAACCTTGTTGGAATGAATGTGCGTAAAGTGCACATGATAAATAATATAACTTTATGTTTTTCTAGTAGATCAATATAATACAGTGAAACCTCTATTAAGCGGACCCCCAATTAAGCGGACACCCTCTATTAAGCGGACACTAAGCCGGGTTCCGAAGTTAACGTCTTATATTTCCCTTTACAACGAACCTCTATTCAGTAGACACCTCTATTAAGTGGAGGTGGACACTAAAATAAGTTGTATTTGCCTAATTTCTATTGTTAAAAACCTCTATTAAGTGGACACCAGACTGAATTGACAAAAGTAGTATTGGATTACGTCCTTGAAATATGGACTGAAGTCAGTTAATGTTTTTGCATTTACAAACAAATTGAAGTCGGTAATGAAAGGTTATGAACTTGAACTCTGGATAGCTCATCTTTAACAACATGCAACTTTATCACAGCACAGGCTGAGTAACCCTTGAATGTTGATCGTTAACAAACATTGTGCAATTTTTACAACCTCTATTAAGGGGACACCCTCTATTAAGCAGACACTTGGGAAGGTGCTGAAGGTGTCCGCTTAATAGAGGTTTCACTGTTAATTCCTATTTTATGGACATGACGTTATTTAAAGCAGGATGTCTGCTCTTTATGCCATCATTTATAGTAATTTGTTTACCCACAAAGCACTTAGGAGTTCTTGAGAACTTTTTTGAATGTGTCCATGTGTTCCAGATCGAATTGGAATTTGAAAAAAACCCTCGAGCAAGGGAGAGAACCAACAACAAATTTAAACTCAACCCATAAATGCCGTCCACACCAGGATTTGAACTGGTCAAGATGTTGGGAGGCGAGTGCTCTCACCATGGCGCCACCCTTGCTCCTCAAAAAAAATTACAAATAAAAACTAATACCACTAATTTCTGGGTTCCTATTTTAGGTATCTGTGTCTTGTGGCATCCCAGATTTTAGATCTCGAGATGGAATTTATGCTAAGCTAAGTGTTGAGTACCCAGATCTTCCAGACCCTCAAGCTATGTTTGACATTGAGTACTTCTATCAGAATCCAAGACCATTCTTTAAGTTTGCTAAGGTAAATAAATTCTTTGATCTTAGTGAAAAATACATGTACATGTTGTAGATATAATAATGCCAACTGAAGTATCCTGGATACCACTCACATCTCCTGGTTTCCTGTATGAGTCACCATACAGTGTACACCACCAGGAGTGTACTTTGGACTACAGCCCATTTTCCTGAAAATTTTAAACTTTTTTGATGATAGTATGCTCTCTGTGGCAACATTTGCACACATTACATCACTGACAAGTTCATTTTTTGTAAGGTGGGGGGGGGGGGGAAGGGGGGGGGGGGGGGGGGTGGATTTTGGGGGTTATAAAAAAAGGGCCACCAAAGGTTGTTATTTTTTATTTTTCCATGGTTTGGATTTTGGGTGATTTTTATTTTTTTAAAATTTTTTAAATTTGGGTCTGAATGTTTTTTCGGGAGTTGTTTTTTTTATATTGTAAATCTTTACTGTACTAATCTAGTGAGTATGTTTTTCTTGTGCTTGTTTTTGTTGGTTTTGTTTGTTGGGTCTGGTGCGTGAGGGCTGTGTTGTCTCTCATAGTGTTGTTTGTGGGTTGTGGGGGGGGGGGGGGAGGGGGGGGTGGGGGGGGGGGGGGGGGGGGGGCTTGATGTTTGGGGCTACTAAAAAAGAGACTACCAGAGATTGTATATTTTAGATTTCCATGCATTGGCATCTTGGTGAATTTTAATATTGTTAAATTTCTTAGAGTTTGGCCTGTAATGTTTATCAGGACTGTTGTTTTTATAATAGGAAATCTATCCTGGACAGTTTGCTCCCTCACTGGGTCACCGATTCATAAAGCAACTGGAATCAAATGGTCAGCTTTTAAAGAACTACTCACAGAACATTGACACACTGGAACAAATAGCAGGCATAACAAGAGTAATCCAATGTCATGGTTAGTTTTAGATATAAAATATAGAAGTAAAGATGTATTACAAACAATGTCAGTGTATCACTGAAATACATGTACAGTGGACCCTCCATGTGGGACCACCTCTTGTAGGCTACTACCTCCCATAAGTTACCACCAATCCAAAACACCAACATTTTCTCAGTCAAAGCCTTAACAGTTGAAACCTCTTGTAAACGACCACCTCCGGTAAGTGACTGCGACCACTTTTTGGGGCTGACGGTTAATGATTTTCTATTGTTTTTAACCTCTTGTAAATGACCACTTTATGCATTCTCTGATCTCTATTTTTGCTGTGTGCACTATGTTACTTGGAATAATTATATAAAATACTTTAGTGGCAACACGCAACTGCACATATCCTAACTTAGACATTGCATGCAATAAATTATCTTCCATAAAGTACATGTGCCGGGACCTCTTCTCAGAATAGACCCCCTGTGGTTCGATTCTTGTAAATGACCACCTCCTGTAAGCCACCACTCAGTCTTTGTATTTTGGGTGGTTGCTTAAGGGAGGTTCAAGTCCTGTAATTGTGATCAGGCTCTCAAACTTTTGAGAACACTAGAAAAGTGTCTCTTCAATGATGTCTTTTCAAAACAGTTGTGTATTATTTTTCCTTCTTAGGGTCTTTTTCTGCAGCATCATGTACAAACTGTAAACACCAAGTGTCTTGTGAAGTCATAAGGGAAGAAATTTTCCAACAGGTTTGTACACTTTTAAGAGTTCACCAACTTAAGCACTGAGGATGTTGAAAAAAATATATATATAACCCTAAAAAGATTGTCTGCTATAGCAATCTCTCTGGTGCACTCTGGCAGTGGGGCAAAAATGAAAGAGACAGGGCTTCTGATATTTCGCGCGGTCGCAGACCCGCGAAATTCAGGTTTTTCCGCGAAATCCCGCGAAATTTCCAAAAAAACATGTAATACCGCAAAATCCGCCAGAAATATTTCCAAATGCATGTCGGCAAAACATATTTAATACTTATCTTGGCTTTTAGACCTGTTTTATTCACCTCAAACGTCCAAATTTATCTTGAAACTTTGTCACTGCAAGGAGTAAACAACGTCCCAAAACTACCAGGCGTTCTTAGGTTAATGTTGCGAAAAACTGGGCACCAACCATAATGTTAATAGCTTTAGATTCGCTCATTTCTCGAGTGAATTCACCGGAAAAAATAATGGATTCCCATTTTTGGACATTTTAGGGTATTTAAAGTCAGGGAATTCCCAACCAAGTTCCCTGATTGGGACTTGTCTCACTCTTCCAAATTTGGGATTTTTGTGGGTATTCTTTAAATACCCTCAAATATCCAAAAATGGGAATCCGTTATTTTTTCCTGTGGAACTGTTGTTGAAAGAGCAAATGATTATCCCTGTTAAAAAAACATTAAACAACGCTGGTCATATCGATGCAAAATTGATCGATTTTAGCGAAATTTGCCAAAAAAATCCCGCGAAATCAGCTGTTGTTTACTGATTGTTTCTTGGCGAAGTTTCCCCCAAAAATTTCCTGTGAAATCGGCCGATTTTTCTAAGAACTTGGCCCTGAAAATCCTTCAAAATTTGACTTTTTTGCGCTAAAATCCCGCGAAATCGGCCGATTTTTCTGCGAATTTTGACTTTCTCCCGCAAAAATCCCGCAAAATCGGCCAATTTTTCCGCGAATTTGCCCCTGAAAATCCCGTGAAAATTTTCTTTTTTTTCCGCGAAATATCAGAAGCCCTGGGAGAGAGCTTGTAGTCACATCACAGAAATTTGAATTCCGTCTCCAGTGGCTCCACTGTGGCTTCTCATCATCTGAGCTGTCAGATTTTGGTCAATCAGCTAGGCATGGAATTGAGTGTCAACTGTAAACAAACGAATTTTGCACAAGCGAACAGGGTTCTGAAAGTATGGGTGCTGAAAAATTAGGGATTACTAGAAAATCATGAGTTCTTGGTTCCCTAGTCAGGTTGTTGACGGTGCCAGATCAAGAGAACAACACTGAAAAAGTGGCAAACCACCTCTAACACCTGCATTAGACAAGATATTTTGCAAGCATTGTGACCTAACTTGAACTGAAATCATTTTTCCTCTGTTTTGAAATGATAAATTTGACCTATTATGGAGACTAATTCTTCATTTTATTATGTCAGTCTTCCAGTCTTAAACTTCTAGAGTTTGTTCAATATTTTCAGGTCATTCCACTTTGCCCAAAATGCCCACAGGATGGGAGCTGTTTTGCCATTATGAAGCCTGGTAAATCCTGATATTTTATGTATAATTTTTGTTTGCATAGAACATTTGTTGACCTACCTTACTATACAATATGAGTGCACAGTTTAGGGTGGTGGTGTTCAAGGGTGACATTGCAGAGATCATTGATAAAAAATCCAAGTTACCTGTTCTTTCAAAAGTGAAGACTTAAATCCATGAGCTATATAAATATTGATGATATCAAGAAATTATTTTACGCCAAATTATGAGAGGAAAATTCATATTTCATTCTTTCAAAAGTGAAGACTTAAATAAGCTATATAAGCTATATAAATGTTGATGATATCAAGAACTTATTTTACGCCAAAATAATTATGAGAGGAAAATTCATATTTCATTCTTGCAAAAGTGAAGACTTAAATCCATGAGCTATATAAATGTTGATGATATCAAGAAATTATTTTACGCCAAATTATGAGAGTAAAATTTATATTTCATTCTTGCAAAAGTGAAGACTTAAATCCATGAGCTATATAAATGTTGATGATATCAAGAAATTATTTTATGCCAAATTATGAGAGGAAAATTCATATTTCTTAAATTATGACTTCTTTGAACAGTAGTGACTACAGAATACAGGGCCATGGGTCTTAAACAGCAGTGGCTTGATGGCTTGCTAGTCAAGACAGTATTTAAAGAACAAGAAAGATCTAAGACTTATAAGTATAGCGCTGAATTTAAAAAAAGACGTAAAAGTACAAAATTTAAGAGCAAAGTAAAGGTATATATTTTCGTGGGTCGGTGGCTCAATTGCTTGTCAGTCGAGGCCAACATCTTAAAGAACGATAAGGTATACATTTTAGTGGCTCAGTGGCACACTGGCTCTTCAGTTGAGGTTATATAGTTTAGTGGCTTGACAGCTTGGTGACTCGTTTGTAGGGACTATCGAGCTGCCGAGCCTCCGCGATGAATATACCTAGAAAGTTTGCCTTGCGTTCTGTAGTTAAGCCTTTAAGGAGCAACTACAGAATACAACATATCAATTGTGTAGATCTTTTAAGCACTAGTCAGCTTGTGAAAGATTAGATAAGGTAGGGAAGTTATTTACTACAGTAAAAGGAAGTGATCAGCAGGATCCTCTCAGTATTTTGTTTTAGACCACATTTGTTTCAGTTTATTCCTTACAGTTAAACTTCACATACATTACAAGCCAGTTTTAAGATAATTGGCTCCTGACACACCCAAAAAAGAGAACATAATATTTATTGTTAGTGGTATGTTGTAAATCACTAGTGCAGTGGACTACCCATTAAATAACTTCCTTATGTGAGTACTTACTCTTCTAAAGTGTTTACATGAAATGAATGTACAGCATGTAAAAGAGCTATAGTCATATTTGAAAATTTGATTTTTGTTTTATGTAACCTGGTGAATCTCTATTATGACAGATATTGTTTTCTTTGGTGAAAGTCTTCCTCCAGAGTTTTATCATAACCTAGAAGCAGATTCTGACAAGGTACATGAATGAAAATAATGTTATTACTTAATGTGCATAACGTACTGTGCTCAAATGCTTTCTAAAAGTTTAGAATTCTTTTTTCTTGATAAATGTACGTGAGAGATGCTAGAGTAAACAATGCAAAACACTCGGAAGAAAACCTGCACTCATGGACAAGCTGCACCCAACAACGAAGAGTGAAAGATTTTTAACAAAAAAATCGAAATTCGTACCTAAAAATGTTGTGCTTCATAATGTTTTATTTTCCTTTTGCCTTCTACTCATAATCATTCATTACCTGGTTAACTCTGACGTAGAGTTTACTGTAAATAGAGCAGTTTATGTTAAGTTGACCTTGGTAACTTCATGTATAGGCCATGACATTGCTCTTGTTGTTCTTTAAACAGACGGGTACTAATTGGACTGAACTCGTGCTCCTGACTAGCCTTTGCATATTGGTGAATTTAGTCTCCTTCAAAGCCTTGAGGAAATTAGGGTGAATTGGGAAAGGGGGATTTTCTATAAACAACAAATAATCACTTTATTGCATGTAACAGGCATTGTACCTTAGATATAACCAAACACATCACTTTCCTGTTTGTTTAGGCTGATTTACTGATAGTCATTGGATCTTCCTTGAAAGTCAGACCTGTTGCTTTGATACCTAGTATGTATGCAATAATTATTAAAATGCCATTTTTACCATTCAACAAGTCAGTTATATTCTAGTAAATTGTGAGTTAGTACACTGCTTACTTAATGCCGTGTATTTTTTACATGTCACGTGGCATTTTATTAACCTTACGTTACTGGGGGCCTGTTTTTCAAAAGTCCTGGTAACTTTATGGCCTAATTAAACCATATTAAAAGAAGAAAATCTCAAAAATGGCAGACATAGTACCCCCTGACAAGTCCATTTTGTTTTGTTTACTTTATTGAACGACTTTTAAAACCAGTGAAATAGGGCTGTCGCTATGATTTCAAGTTGCACGGAATACCTTAAAATTCTGAAAATAAGCCCCTCCATTTACAAGCCCCTCAAAATATAAGCCCCCCAAGCTCGTAATAAAAAACCTCCATTAAATCGCCCCCCCAAACAAAAGCCCCCCCCCCCCCCCCCCCCCCCCCCTTATTGTCCAATGACCCCCCAAAACAATGCAAAAAAAAAAAAAAACAAAAAAAACAATCCCAACCCCACAATCAGAAAACCAACCGACATTCTAGAAAACCACCCGCCCCACAACAGCAACACGACCCCACAATACAGACATAAAAAACAAAGAGAAAAGGGCTTCCCCAATCTTATCAAATTCCCACAAAAACCCAAAAATTCCAAAAAAAACCCCCCCCCTTTCCAACCCCCCAAAAAAAAAACCCCCCCCACCCCAAAAAAAAAACCCCCCCAAAAACCCCCCCCCCAAAACAAACCCCCCCCCCCCCCCCCGAGAGCTTTTACTTGGAAATTGCCCTCAAATACGAAGTAAAACAAAGCAAAAACGGTAAATTTCCTTCCAACTTACTGTAAGGCTAGCCCAATCGATTTTGAAACGCAAACTTCCCTCCATAGATAAGCCCCTCAAAAAGGGCCTTTGAAAAATATAAGCCCAGGGGGCTTATTTTCGGAATTTTACGGTATGCAATGTTATTAGGCGGGGCATTGAACAGTAGGGAGTTCTTTGGGTCTCATTTCCCTTTTGTTTTCAACGAATTAAAAGTAGCTGGTGGACATATTGAATGCAACACAGCAGACTAACCTTCAGCGCCTGGTAATAGGCCATTTCCGAGTTCCCCCGGGCCTCTGTTTCAAAACGAGGGTAGGTGCTCAGCCTTTGATATGGAAATCAATTTTCATTCTCATGCAAATAAAACTGATTTTCACAAGAAAGGTTGTGCACCTAGCCTCATTTTGAAAGTGAGGGTTTTTGGAACTTGGAAGTGGCCTGTTACCTGAGCCTTCAAGAACTGGGCCCCAGTGCCCTCATTAGTAACAACATCACATTGCCTACTGTTAAGACTACCCTGGCATATATTAAAAGAAACCATTTTTTGGTTCACCACAGGTCACCTACCTCCAGAAGTGCCTCAGATTCTTATCAACAGGGAACCTCTCAGGCATATGACATTTGATGTTGAGTTGCTAGGTGACTGTGACGTCATCATTACTGAGTTGTGCCAAAGGCTAGGTGGAGCATGGAATAATCTACTAAAAGGAGTTACAATTCCTGACGTGGAAAGAAGGCCTTTGTCGCGTAATGAAGAAAACACGACGGGAGAGATGCATCAAGGGGTTAATTTTGAAGAAATACAACGCAGTGAACAGGTACATGCTGAGTACGACCGAACTTACGTAGGCTTTTTGAAAGTTCCAGCATCTTGAATTTGAGATCTGTAGTGTACAGCAAATGCGTAAAAATCTTGTAATACTGACTGTGAGGTCATAATGCACCCTTTTCCTTTTAAGACGACTGCAAGTGGAACGAACAGCGAGAAGAGTCCATCAAGCAACGTGAAGCAGAGGAGTGAAGATGTCACACCAAACACGACGGACAATCACGTGACTGTGGGTGAGAGCAGTGGGTATGAAGAGACTAGGGACGACTCGTACCGGGACCAGCCGAGAGCCTCGGCCAGTGATCACGGAAATGAATGTTCCTTCGACAACAGCACACCGCATGAAGAAGGTATGATCGAGCTGTTGACATGTTGGTAAATTTGCAAAGTTAGTAGTGTCACATCTGATAAAAAATTCTTTTGCAATGAAGAGTAATTTGAATTACTGTGACTCGTGATGAGATAAAATCTCCAATTTTCACTCAACCTGTCAGAAGTAAAACAGAGATAATTATTATACGCGTGTATGACTTTTTCTGCGTTTTTCTGGTTAGGTTCGTTTCATTTTTATTGTAGTCTTAATTCTTGCCTTTCAGGGTCAGAAATTAAAATAATTGTCATCATCGTCGATATAAAATTCTTGCAGACTATCTGCATTAGATCTGCCGCAATGGATCTTTTTCAAAAGAAGCTCATATACTCGTCAATAAAGTGAAATAAGAGAAGAGCAGTTTTCCAGAGTAACATATTGTGGTTATAGACCTAATTGGTAGATGTTTTAAAACAGAAAATTCTTTCGTTGTAAAAAAGGAAAAAAACTGTGGAAACAGACACCGAATTCTTAACGAAGAACTTACTTTTTCTGTGGATTCTAGATTCACCTCGATTTCTCTTCATGCCTCCAAGCCGTTACATTTTTTACGGAGCGGAAGTTATGGATTCTCCCCTCCCCTCCCCCTCACGACACATACCAGGCTACCTGGAAAGCACCAGCGAAGAGAGCGATAGTGACAGTGTGGGTGAGATAGAAGACAGTGAAGCTTCCCGTGTCCAGCTTGATGATCTTACAGGAGATCAGGCGGGGCGAGACTGTAGTAACCCAGAGGTGTGTAAAGCATCGACCAATCAAGTTGCAACAAATGGTAGTGAAAATGAAAGAAACAGCGATGATGGCTTTGGTGAAGGCGAGGCAGATGTTGAAAAAGGACTGGAGCCCATTATCAATAACGAGGAGACTCGGCAGGCGTTGTCTCTCATTCTTGGCGGGCTGAGCAGTTATACGTGTGAAAGTGAAGAAAATAGTCGACTCTCGGGTTCTGATGATCCGCTGACTGTGGGCCCAAGTGTGGCCAGCGACCCTGTCTGTTTGTCAGGTGCTTCGGATGTGCTATTGGCAAATCGTCCTTTCAGTGCAGTTACCATGGATACATTGGTAACCACGTCAAGTCATATGCAGGATAAGAATTTAGATCAGGCTGAAGATGCATGTCCACAGAAAGGTGAAGAAAATGTGTCCTTCAACGTTAACCGCGACGTCTCTGACGAAGCCTGGACTGAAATAAGTTCGGACTTTTTGCAATCCTGATATTATATCAAGCTTTATTTATTCCACAAAACTGTCTCTTGCACTGTCATTCAACATTCTTCATTAATCATCATAGATCGGTTTTTTAGTTGGCTTTACGAGTGTTGTGTGACCGCAGTTTCATGGGCTACAAAGTCTTAGATGGGCACTTTTTTATCGCTGAACCCTGACTGTAACAGGCTGGTCAAATGGCAACGCTGCACATTTTGATCCACTCTTTCTAACAAAATTAGGATGTACATTTTACATACGAAGGGGCCCAGTCTGGCAAGCCAATCCTTTCAAATGATGAAAACCTTAGCTACTTATTCATGTGAGCGGAGTTTAGCCGGTATTTAACAAACGACCGTTCTACGCCATTTTCATTTAATTTTTGACTGAAATAAACTCTTTTTAATGCCGTTTTTCGCTATTACACAATTACGGCAATTTTTTCGACATCACAGTTTTATTTCTGTGACTCCCTTTGTAACGGACAGTGAGTGTTATTTTACTTTGGGACATTTAAATGCAATTGATTATATTTATTTACATCGGTGTTTATCACATTTTGTCTTGTTGCAATGGTTGGATTCACGCCTTTTGTGCTTACCGGATTATAGCCAGTGACGCATTATGTCATAGGGCATGTAGGTCTGTAAGTAGGGACAATTAAGTGACCTTTCGAAACTACGACGGCGACGGCAACGGGAACGTCGAAGAAAGCATTAGATTTTGAGCAAAACAATAACTCTGCACGTGCATCACGCTTTTTTGTACATTTCTTTGCCGCCCCTGCACAAGTGTGACGTGAAATGACCAAATTTTAATTTTACTTGAAAACGGGAACGGCAAGGCGATAAATTCTACCATCTCTGTCTGAACTCGCGCGCGGCCCCCTCTCTTCAGCTCCAACCCAAGTTCCCTCATTTTAAGTAGCAGGATGACCAGGGATAATCGCGAAAAAGTTTGAAAGGAAGCGAAGTCTATTTTTCAACGACGTTTTCATGGACGTCGTCGTTGTCGAATCGTAAAGTCCTAGTTAGGGAAACTAAGGTGTTTGCATTAAGGGGAGTCGCTTGACTGTGAAGAAAGTTAAGAAGGCATATAGTACAGGCTGTAACTGTACGTAATATAATTTACTTGTATCCGGAGGTCCATTTGTTGCTTCAAACCGGTCTAAGTTAGACTTATTTGAAATAACCGGCCCCCCTTCTTCATACTGGGAACTTGGGACACTTCTTTTCTATAATGTTATAGTGGGTCCGCTTATGTACAGCAGTATGTAAACAACAGTGTACAGTATTTATATATCTTATTCTGAGATTGCTATACCAACCTGTCTGAACAGTCAACTCTAATAATGTAAATACTAAATAAAGTTCAAGGTGACTGTTACAGCGTTTCTGGAAATCAAAAGCGCGGCAACAACAATAAAGTCACGTGATATTTTATGTTAAGATGTCATTTGTTTTGCTCGTATAAGGTATCTGTGATATTTTTTTTTTCATGGTTCTCATTAAAAAAAACATTAGGAACTATATTACACTTACTATAGACTCCATTGCAATGGACAGGGACAGATATATGGCTACCATACATAGCACCCCTACATCAAAATACCTTCAAAACCTACACTCCCCTCTATAAATGGAATTGTCAGTGCATGTATTCCTCAATCTGATTCTAAAACGATATGTAGCCACATTGGTCACAAGCCACGAAGGGCAATAAGAGAATTGGCAGTCCGGAACTGATTGATGGTAGTGCTGAAAATTGGCATTCTCTATTTATTTCGAAAGTAGCGTGTGATAAGAATAGTCTTGAGCTGTTTTTATCTGCTCATTTTCTATTTTAAAAATTGTCAACTTGAATCTGACGTTTGCCGTATACTTAAACTTAGAGCAGTTTTCACTTGACTGTCGTAAAACCAAAACCAAAGTAAATACACTAGCCAACCAATGGACGTAGTAAAACCAAAACCAAAACCAATCCCAATTCGACAGTCAAGTGAAAACCGCTCTAAAGCTTAAATTTTGTAATTCCAAATATCTGAAGTCAAATCCAGAATTATTAGCAGTAACTTTTTAATTCAATTTAATTATTATTCTACGCGAAATAATTTTGTTTTCTCCTTATATTATAGTTGCCAAAGTTGCTTTTCTTTAATACTGAGAGAAAGTTTAAAAAAGGCATTTAAAATAACATAAAAGGTTTTAGAATCCATATTGAGACGGAAAACTACTTATTCAACGAATGAACTGATTTGAATAAGAACACCTCGCAAAAATCAAATGTAAATGATTTGCACAAGCCAAAACATGTTCATAACGGTTAGTAATAGGTAACATCGGCTGAAGTCAGATTGCTTCTTTCAGTAAAATTACATGAAGAACAACTTAAGTCCAACTTTACTGTGTAAGGTTAGCATAAGATAACATCGAGTGAAGCCGGATTGGACACCTTAAGAATTTTACACAACGCATTATTTTCACAATGAAACGAGGCTGGAATGTAGAATGAGGCTAGAATAGCTGAAGAAACCAAAACTACAGAGCGCCAGTTGTGGAGAGAACACATTAGAGAGTTAAGCACTGATCTGTAGTGATTAGGGTTAAGCACTGAACTGAAAACGGTTAGCTATCGAATCTTGTAATGGGGTACGGCATATATAAGAACATGTATATTTTAAAAATTACTGGATTTGGCAGCTAGTCCTCGATGGTGTAGTGGATATGGATGTAGGCTATAAGGCAAGTGACCCGGATTCAAAGCATCACAGTGGAGTTTTTGTATTTCACTTTTATATTACACAGTGGTTAGCATGCGGCTGAAGTCAGATTGTTTCTTTCAGTAAAATTACATGAAGAACAACTCAAGTCCAACTTTACTGTGTAATATACATGTAAAAGTGAAATAGAAAAATTCCACTGTAAAATTCATAAGCTGTTTCAAAATGTTGATGCGTACCCGAAAGAAGGAACAACAATACAGTCGACCCCCGATAACTCGAAATCCCGCTAACTCGAACCAATTTTCGTTTCTCCTCAGGTCATTTTCTATATAATTTTACCCTCGATAACTCGAACCATGTTTTGAGCCCTCAAAAAGTCGGGAAAAAAGCCGTATACTGGCGTCCGAAACACTGAATTTTGGATTTCCTATTGACGCGTTGTAGGAGTATAGTTTACAAGTGGAAGCTGATGTTGATTGTCACAGGCTAACGTGAAGCATCTTTTCTTCTCAAAAAAGTAAAAGGCATGCTCTATTTAGGCGATCTTTTGTTACGTTACGTTCTGATTTATAATCTAGAAGTATCTTTTCACTTTCACTTGACATTTCTACAATTAAATGTGATTAAAATGTTCACTGTGCAGTAAAAACTGTTTTTTACCTTACTCTCGGCTATTTTCTTCGAACTCCAGATAATTCGAACCTTTTTTTTTTTCGATTTCCCTTGAAGGTTCGAGTTATCGGGAGTCCACTGTAGTCTTTTGGCACATCAGGAAAAAGTTTCCACCGCATGTGGCGATTCGGACACGAAACGAAATTAAAAACGCGAAACACGAAGACGAAATCCAGACAGCTCAGTAAATTTAACATCTGATTTCTCTTTATATACAAAAAGGATACGTACTTTCTGTTAATAATGAAGATACTGCCGAAACGAAAAGCTATCTTTGTGGTCTTGTAACCAGTTGGAGGCGGAAGAACAGTCATTTTTCGTGTTGATGTGGAAGACAAAACCAAAGTAGACAAACAAGATCTTTTCCCCTTTTTAGGAAGCATTCACAAGCAATTAAACAAAGAAACGACGCTGTAAACTACTATATTTCTAGAAATAGCACTGAATTGCGTGATTATCATTTAACTGTAGGTGTTGTGACATGTGTGGCAGAACTTGTCAACAATCACTTTTATCGAAGAATCTTTTGCGCCTCATACGTCTCCGCAGAAATAACATTTCTTTCTGGAATTGATTTAAAAGAAGGTTCTCAATTTCAATTTTAATCATCTAAAAATTGAAAATTTCAAAAAGTTATCGATTTTTACCATGGATTGTACCTTAAGTATTTTAGTGGCATCTTCCCCATATTATCATGGATTATGTCTCCGTTTCTTTCCGAATTTTACGCGCACTCTCTAGATAGTCCTCAGCCCTTTGATAGTCACCTAGCTTTATGTACGATGTTCTTAGGTTTTCATAGGCTAGAGCTTTCACGCGTTTGTTCCCAGTTTCCTTTCCAAATTTAAGTGCTCTCTCATGATACTCCACAGCCCTTTGATAGTCACCAAGAGCATGGTACGTAAGTCCTAAGTCTCCATAAACTAAAGTTTCCCCTTGTTTGTTCCCAGTTTCTTGGTTAAGTCTAAGTGCTCTCTCATGATACTCCACAGCCCTTTGATAGTCACCAAGAGAACTGTACGCACTTCCTAAGTTTCTATAAGCTAAAGCTTCCCATGCACTGTTTGTTCCCAGTTTCTTGGTTAAGTCTAAGTGCTCTCTCATGATACTCCACAGCCCTTTTATAGTCACCAAGAGAACTGTACGCACTTCCTAAGTTTCTATAAGCTAAAGCTTCCCACTGTTTATTCCCAGTTTCTTGGTTAAGTCTAAGTGCTCTCTCATGATACTCCACAGCCCTTTCATAGTCACCAAGAGAATTGTACGTAACTCCTAAGTTTACATAAGCTGTAGCTTCCAATTGTTTGTTCCCAGTTTCTTGGTTAAGTTTAATTGCTCTTTCGTGATACTCCATAGCCCTCTGATAGTCACCAAGAGAATGGTACGCATTTCCTAAGTTTCCATAAGCTGAAGCTTCCCCTTGTTTGTTCCCAGTTTCTTGGTTAAGTCTAAGTGCTCTCTCATGATACTCCACAGCCCATTGATCGTCACCAAGAGAATGGTATGTAATTCCTAAGTTTCTATAAGCTGAAGCTTCCTCTTGTTTGTTCCCAGTTTCTTGGTTAAGTCTAAGTGCTCTTTCGTGATAGTCCACAGCCCTTTCATAGTCACCAAGAGAATTGTAGGTAACTCCTAAGTTTACATAAGCTGTAGTTTCCCCTTGTTTGTTCCCAGTTTCTTGGTTAAGTTTAAGTCCTCTCTCATGATAGCCCACAGCCCTTTGATAGTCACCAAGACAACTGTACGTAACTCCTAAGTTTACATAAGCTGCAGCTTCCTCTTGTTTGTTCCCAGTTTCTTGGTTAAGTCTAAGTGCTCTTTCGTGATAGTCCACAGCCCTCTGATAGTTACCAAGACAATGGTACGCGTTTCCTAAGTTTCCATAAACTGAAGCTTCCTCTTGTTTGTTACAAGTTTCTTGGTTAAGTCTAAGTGCTCTCTCATGATACTCCACAGCCCTTTGATAGTCACCAAGAGAATGGTGCGTAATTCCTAAGTTTCTATACTCTAAAGCTTCCCATTGTTTGTTACCAGTTTCTTGTTTAATTCTAAGTGCTCCAGTTCGTGATAGTCCACAGCCCTCTGATAGTCACCAAGAGAATGGTACGCATTTCCTAAGTTTCCATAAACTGAAGCTTCCTCTTGTTTGTTCCCAGTTTCTTGGTTAAGTCTAAGTGCTCTCTCATGATACTCCACAGCCCTTTGATAGTCACCAAGAGAATGGTACGTAATTCCTAAGTTTCTGTACTCTAAAGCTTCCCATTGTTTGTTCTCAGTTTCTTGGTTAAGTCTAAGTGCTCTCTCATGATAGCCCACAGCCCTTTGATAGTCACCAAGAGAATTGTACGCAACTCCTAAGTTTACATAAGCTGCAGCTTCCCCTTGTTTGTTCCCAGTTTCTTGGTTAAGTCTAAGTGCTCTTTCGTGATAGTCCGCAGCCCCCTGATAGTCACCAAGAGAATGGCACGCATTTCCTAAGTTTCCATAAGCTAAAGCTTCCCCTTGTTTGTTCCCAGTTTCTTTGTGCGATCTAAGTGCTCTCTCGTGATAGTCCACAGCGCTTTGATAGTCACGAAGAAAATTATGCAATATTCCTAGCTTTACATAGGCATTAGCTTCTCCTTGTTTGTCCCCGATTTCTTTTGTTATTTCAAGTGCACTATCAAGGTACTTTCTGGCTATAAAGTAGTCACCAGAATGAGAATACACATATCCAAGGTTTACACGAGCCGAAACCTCTCCTTTTCTGTCCCTTATTTCTTGTCTAATAGTTAAAGCCTTTTGGAGATATTCAATAGCCTGGAGATAATCACCACTGTTAAACTTGAACTGAATTCCAAGCTTTTCAGCATTAGCTGCTTCTTCCTCTTTTCGTTTCCGACTTTCTACCTCCCCTTCCAATCCTTCACCTCTCATTTCGCTTCCAACAGACATGACACTTTCTGTGTAAATAAATAACTCTCAATCATTAGGGGCCAATCTAGGACTTTTTTATACGGGGGTCCAAACTTCTATCTTCATTCACCCTTCACATACTGGCCTGGTAAACTTTCTTAAAGGCAAATTTGATTAACAAGTGATATTTGATGATTAAGAGGTAGCAATTTCATTTTTAATGCTCTTAGTCAATCTGTAAAATAGAAAAGTATATTATGTGATGACTCCATTAAGAGTTGGGGTGAAGGCACGGATCCTCCTGACCACCATGGATCCGGCAAAAATAAGTAAATAAGAATATAAATGTCTTAAAATATCTAACGACATTGTTAGTTGTTTCAGCGTTATATATAACCCATGCATGAACTAAAAATTAATTCAAGCACGAGAACTGAGAACAAAAAAACCGCCAGCTTGCATAATTGTTCGAATAGTCATACGGTCCCTGTAAGTCTGCATGGTTTTTCTTGGGATAAATAATAGCTTTTTCAAATTTAACTCAGTGAAGTCTTAAGGTGATGGAATGTAATATTTCAGAGTAATCTACGTAGCCAAAATTACGGCAAAGCTAAAAAACAATGTTGGGGGATTTGTCCGGAGATAAATGCTTTCGGGCGCGTTGCGGAATAGAGGCACTTTCCCAGTCTGCACCTGGGACCCGGGAAGAAGCTCACTATACTCAACCCAGGCCAAAATCAGCGACGTCCCCAGATCACCATAGCGTTATGCTAGTGAGCAAAGGAGCGTTGAAACCGAATGCTACAGCCAGCGCAAAGCCTGTCAAAAAATGAAACAAAAAGTCCCTTTTGGCGGGAAAAGTCCCAGACTGAATTACGCGACAAAATCTTCCTTTGTCTTTATATATCATTTTATCGACTGTGCAGGTTAAATACGTCCCTTCCAATCATTTGCCCGGTGTACCGTTTTAGATGATAGAAACAAAAACTTTAATGGCTTTTATTTCTCTCACAGAATGGTTAGTCAAGGGGCGACGCCATTTTGGAATCATTTCGGATTTCGCTAGCCGGGCGCATCCTCCCGATTCCTCCCGACAACATCCCGACGAGGTTAACGGTTACATCTTTCCCAGGGTTCTCTCCCTTGCTTGAAAGAATCCTGATTGCGGCTGGTCACCTGAGCCCCCAAAATCTGGAGGCGAACAAAGATTTACCTCATAGAAGGGGTAGTAAAGTATAAAAATGTCGCTGTTGTGAGAAAGATACAAAATACACTGGAGAGGTTGCAAAAAGGATTGCTTTGACTGTTTGAAGTATGTTTGTCATAAGAACAAATTTATAGCCAAAGTTTTCCATATTATACACATGCTTTCTACTTAAAAATGGTTGTAGTTGCTTTTGACTCGCGGAAAGTATTTACCTTGAAAGTTTTCGATTCTTCTTGGCAGTGGCATGAAGCGAGGGTTACCGAAAAACTAAAGCCGGAAGCTGTCAACCTTATGGGTTTCGAAATCATATCATGAGATGAAGAGGTATATAAATCAATTTTGGCATCTTCAGAGAATCCGGGTAGAGATTACAAGAATTTCACTCATCAAGAATTTGTCAGACCGCCGGTCGTTGCAGGAAAACAAACGCCGAGTTCTCATGCAAACTAGTCAGTGCACTCAACGGCCGTGAACGGCCAGCCTCGGTATCCTGAGAAAACAGCCGACACTTCGTGACGCCACCACTGGTTTCCCGGTGAAATGACGTATGATAAACGAGCGCAGAAATTTCATACTGATGGCACGTCACTACTTAGGCTGGGTAGTGCTTCTGATTGGTTGAAGCAAATTTCCCACGCGGTACGACCAATTAGAAGCACTACCCAGTTTTGGGTGGTGACACGTCATCAGTATGGAATTTCTGAACTCGTTTTTCAGACGTTTTTTCGCGGAGAAACCAGTGGTGGTGTCGTGGAATGTCGGTTGTTTTCTCAAGCTAGCCTCCGTACCGAACTGAAACCAGTCTTCAATCCTTAAAAACTATGAAACATGAATCAAAGGTAATTTACAATGCTTCTTCATGTTGTCTTTTAAATGATGAACCTTAGCAAAGAAAGAGACCGAATCAGAAACTCTCAGGTAAATTCTATTTAGCTGAATTTAATTAATAATCTCGTAGTGTTTTTGACAGGATTGTTAGAAAAGCTCAAACTTAATATTTCATATGTGCAATGTATACGATCGAAGCACTTTTTGAAAGCGTAATGATGAGTATAATTGTCGCTCCTTTATTTATTACCTTAACACAAATAGCATGTATATGTGGTAGTTAATTTTTCATTTCAGGTAATTTTTATTTTTTCCTTTGTTTAAACTTCATTAGCATACATTACCATACCCAAAGACAAAAGGAAAACAAAAATTACCTGAGATAAAAAATTAACTACAACATAAACATATTACTGCCTCGAGTTTTAGCTCATATTCAGTCGCTCCATACCCTGGATGCCAGAGTTTTTTTTTCCTTTCCTAATTTCTGATTTCAAACCGTAAGCACGGTTTATTTCATCATCCTTGGTAGTTACTACATGGACCACATATAAAGATAAAGGCATTAGCCCTACGCTGGTGAGGAGTTCATTGTCACAGATAGTTATATGACCAGCTGCAACCAGGGTTCTTTCTCGAAGCAAGAGAAAGAACTCTGGGAACTAGGTTGGATTAACGGATGACGTCACATCTGAAATCGCCGAGGACGATTGGAAACAAGACTGGGCCAAAATATGAAAATGAATGAAAATGTAGTCATAAAATAACTACATCTGTCCCTGGTGATAATATAGCCAGTTACACTTTTCGTGTAGTGTTGTTGTACTTGATAAGAAAAATCTCTGCCTGGCTTCTCAGGTCCGGCATAAAGACATGCTGCATTTAATGATTTGTCATACAACTCCGCCACGGCGATGTACATGAGTATGTGTAGTTTAAACTAGCAACAACAACAACAACAACAACAACAGATTGGTAATTACCTTTATCTTCTTCGCTCCGCAGTTCAGAAAACATACTTTGACTGAAAGCACCGCTGTCAGATATTCCCAATGGCTCAAGGAACGTCTGTGGCTGATCGTAAAGAAATCTTTCTATTTTCCACACAAATGTACTTTTCTCCCACTGTTTGACTTCAAATGCGCTATCCTCTGGAAAATGAAGAGCAAGGGATTAACACAAGAGTTTTCACAAGAGTTTTTAAATGTGTAAAGAGTGTGCTTGAGTATGCCAACAAGTTGCTGTGAATCCTCGCCCTGAACGCGATTTATCATCAAAACTCCGCTGGAGCGAGGATGACGATTTTTAAATTCAGCAATACCAACGAAGGGGAAGAATACAGCAAGAAACCACGGAGCACTGGGGCAATATCGCCTTGCCGGAGAGGAATTCATTTTACACCGTGGAAAGCACACATGTAGCTCAATTTTGGTGCTTTCTCGCCGATGGATTAAAGTTTGTACCCTGTACTTCGGCCCGCACGCGAACGCACCGTGTTTGAATTAATAAAATGGCGGCCGAAATAATGCTTAATATGATTTTCAATACACATTTAAAAAATAAAATAGGACAATAAGGAAAAAGAATTGAAGAAGAAAAGAAATGCAGTGGAACCTCTCGGTACGGACACCTCTCTATTACGAACAGTTTCCAATGTCTCGACAAAATTGTCATATATTTTCTTTAAAAAAACCTCTATAATACGGACTCTCTCTTATACCGATAACGGACACTGAATCTCGGCCCCAGAGAGTAAATTCATATAAAATTAACCTCTTTATTACGGACACTGCGGTGATCAGGCGAATCCCTAATCCCGATCAGTTGAATACCGTAAAATTCCGAAAATAAGCCCCTCCATGTATAAGCCCCCCAAACTCGTAACGTAAAAAAAGCTCCGTTAAATCGCCCCTCCGAATATAGGCCCCCTCGGAGGCTTGTGCTTGGAAATTGCCCTCAAATACAAATTAAAATAAAGCAAAAACGGTCAATTTCGTTCCAACTATAAGGCTAGCCCAATCGATTTTGAAACGCAAACTTCCCTCCATAGATAAGTCCCCTTGAGTATAAGCCCCTCCAAAAATAAGGCCCTCAAAAAGGGCCTTGGAAAAATATAAGCCCCGGGGCTTATTTTCGGAATTTTACGGTATGCACAGGGTGAATCTCGTCTAGTCTGGCTGATGAGCAATGCAAAGTGATATAAAGCCCAGTGGCTGTATACCAAACAACGATTTGCGAAAGGTGTACAGAGAAACATAACCGACTTTTTGAAGGCTTCAATAACTACAGATAGCATAAAGATCTTTTCATTACATTTTGTACTCTAGTTACTGTTTACTGCACTTGCAAAACAGCGAAAGACGCTTTCACAATTGTGTTTTATGTATACGTTACAACTTTTTACATGCAGCATTGCGCTGTAGCTCGTTTCTTTTTATGTACAATGTTGTATCGGCTCCTGTGTATGCTACTTAAAGACAGTGCCTTTGTACTGTGAATTAATAACCTTAAACGCAGTTTAAAGACGAGTGTGAGCCTGGCTTTAGCTACTGAACACCTAAACCTGTAGGTGGAGTCATAAAGTGACGTCATCATAGTGACTTCGTTTATACAGACACCTCTCTAATACGGACACTTCACTCTTTCCCTTCGGTGTCCGTATTATAGAGGTTCGACTGTAATACTTGGGAGCCTTTACTTTACCCTAACCCTAACCCATCCAGTTTCTAACTCTGCCCCACACGACTTAACCTGAGAGCGCTGTAAACAAGAGCCCAGTTTCGTGAGGGTTAATGCGAGTTACGTATTTCTAGTGAAGTAAATAAATGAATGAAAAAAGGAAAAGAGACAAAGATAAACACCAGTGAAAGAATTGCAAGAATTCGTAGAATGTATATTGCATACACTGAAGAGATATTTAATAGGCCAAGAGCTATCAGCTAAAGCCGAAAGTTTCTTATAATAAGTGTTACATTGCTTATGCGACGACATCGGACTTGTCATAGTATCTCTATTAAAGAAAAAGGGCATAAGAAATGCAATTCCACATAGTTTTATTCTATGTCAAAACGTTCAGGAATAGGTTTAAACACAGGTCGATCCAAGCTCGGTGCATAAATTACCGCGCGTTTTAATACCGTTTTACGAAGGATTATAAACTTCGTTTGAGAATAAATGCAATATAGTTATTTTAAAGCGTAGAAATATAGGCATAAATATAGAAATAAATTAAACTAACGCAAAAGCGAACTTGGGTTTGTTGTTGCTTTTCCTGAGTAAACTGGGCTTATTTCATGGCCATAATTTTTTTACGGTTTTGAGGCTCGTTGTTTGTTCAGTGTTGAACAAACATTACATATGATGCGAATCAAGGCTGGTTACTGTGTGCAAACTCGATTCACAAATCTCCGCTCCCGCATCAAAAAACAGCGCACACAAACGCGCGAAATTCTTAAAGGCCAGAAAAGTCTCTCATTTCTTCCCCTCCTCATGGGTATTGCGATGGGTTTTTGGTAGAAAAATGCTTTCAAAGCTTTCTTTCTGGGCAATTTGGCGTGCGCTCAGAAAACTCGATGACTTCACTTTGCGTGGTGAGCACCAGCATTTAAATAAGCTCATCTAAAATAAATGGATAATTCCAAACCCCCACTCACACGCAATCAGTAGACTATCAGAGAGTAAAAAAACCCGGTTCAGACGCTGAACTTTTCATGAGCCGAACCTAATTCGAATTAAAGCCGACCCAAATTATTTAGACCGGCTGAATTGATTCGGACGCTGATCTTAATTGCAGCTGAACTAAGTTCAAAAGGCGAAAGTTCGGTCAAACTGCTTACAAAATACGATATAATAATTTATGCATTAGGTTCGGCACATGAAAAGTTCGGCGTCTGAATCAAAGCCCGGCGTTCCAAACTCGCTCCAAAGGCGAAATTCCCGGCCGGGCTAGGCGAAAAGAACGGCTGAGCCGTTCCAAATTGAAACAGGCGTTCCTAATTGATTCAGACGCCGAACTTTTCATGTACTTATTTAATGCAATGTATTAGGTTCGGCTCATGAAAAGGTCGGCGGCTAAACCGGGCTTACATGCAGTTTTCTCACGCAATATTGATTACCCGGATCACTTGAGTCCATGAGATGGTAACCTTCCTTTTGAGCCCAGGTTACACAGAAAAAGCAATAAGAAACTCAAGTTTACTTAAATTAAATTTATTTCTATATCCATGAAAAGAAAAGAAACAAGAAAAGAAAAACAAAAGGAAAAAAGAAATTTCTTATTCTACGCTTAAACTCATAAACACAATTGTAGATATAGTGCTATAATTCAAGTGTTCCACTCACCGTCAAACTCTCGAGCCATGTGTCTAATAGGTTCCATTTCCATCCTTTGTTTTGGAGTACCTTTGTCCAGACTAGCAAAACCAGAAATCTTCGCAACAGTCTGGTTAGTTTCCATGGCTAGTTTGTTGGTCTCCTCCAACTTTTCCTTCAGTTTCCAGAATTTCTCTTCTAGCTGTTTTACCTTAACCTGATGAAACTTAAGAGTTGTTTCCTTTGTCTACGGGAAGACGGCTGGCACCTCGTCTTCTTTTGCTGCAGTATATACAACTGAATCAGAATTTCGACGACTTCTTTGTTTATCACGGACATTTTCCTTGACTTTTAAGGCTGTTTACATGAAAAAGATCAAAATGACCAAAAAGGATAGTGGATCATTGGGCTTGAAAATACTACTGATCATGAGATAAAGGTATCTTCGGCTTTTCTCCCTGGGTCCGTGTCTCATCTATGAAGAGAACGGGGATGCTGATCGAAAAATTCAAACTTAACCCCAAAGGAGACTAACCTGCGCATAGCTTTAATTTTATTTGTCACCTCGAGCAGGGTACCAAAACCAGAAAGCCAAATGAGAGCTAAAGTAGCTAGAGTTGATTGCGATTAAGTCATTCTTCATTTAAAATATATTGTTCTTTTCTTTTTCAGTTTTCTTTAGTGTAGGGTGCGTCCCCTCCGTGCTTTTATCCATAACTTTTCTTATCACGCCCCACTCTGACGTAAGAAGATCTTGGGGACACCCTTTTAGACACATTTTGCAACTAAATGTACTAGTCAGCTTGAATTACCTCGTGTTTCGGTTGTCATTAGATCAAAACAGGCATTGTGATAGTCTTGTTCGTCAATATGAACCTCCAGTGTTACTTCCTCTCCACCTGCGAGTTGTTTGATTTCATCAGTCACCAGGAATTCTTGAAGCTTGTCTCGCAGAGTGCCATCCTGGTACTGTTTCCACAGTGCCTCAAGAGCTGGTCTGTTTTGTGCCTGAATTGCGAAGCATATTGCATCTTCACTGATTGCTCGCAAGGTGTTGGCAGCAGGAAGAACGGCTTCAGTGAAAGATGTTACGAATTCTTCAAGGTTGGTACTCCTGCGCAGGATCATCCAGGTGGTTACGATTACTGTAACACCAGCAACATTACGGAAAGTGCAGTAAGGAGTAACGGCTGTAAAGATTATCAGTAACCTAATGTTATGACTGGGCCATTGGGTACATTCATCTAATTATCGAGAAATTTGATCAATACTTTCATTAATCAAAACTATGACAAAATTTGATTGGCTATCAACTGTCCTGATTTCAGTATTACTCGGACTGTATGCGTCATCCCACGCGCGCACTTAAATGGCTTTTTTAAAACTTTTTTTTTTTATAAAAAGCTCTCGAAATTTCTTGTCTTTTAATTTGTAAAAGCATAAAATATCACAAATTTTGTTATAGTTGTGATTAATTGGTAACAGAACTTCGTGACGTCGGTTAATCACTCTTGCTTACAGAGCGAATTGGACTCCACTCAGTCCTATCACCATTATTTGCTATCTTTCTACCCTTACTGTTCTCCTCCCTCTCCTTTCTCTTTGATTAGTTCGCTTTCTCAGCAGATCATTCTGTAAGAAACCTTCCCTGCGGTAACTTAACGTCTGAGGCATTTTTAGTCTTTTTTTTTTTTGTTCTTTTTTTTTTTTTCAGTATATACCCGACGACTCTGGCTGCAGAGATGCGAAATACTCCATAGCTCAATTATTGCCCCCGCAGGGATTTCGCCCAGAAGGCGAAATCCCGAGGAGGCACTCTAGTAACTCGCGCGTATATTAAGGAAAGTACTTACAGTTGAAATATACAGTCATACAGTCAATATCGAAAAAATCTCGATTTGCTTGAACAGGAGCCGCGAGGAATCGGTAGGTAATGATGACGTTTCTATTGTTTGCCCCCGCAAGTACGAAATGGTTAGGATGACGTAAAAACAGAAAATCCCGAAGGGACCGCTCAGGTAGATTTTGCGACATTTATTGTGCAGTCATACTTCGATACTCTTTTGCGTTACGCAGTGACATTCTGTGGAACAGTTGTTTTGAAAGTTATGGACCAAAAGACACTCGTTAAGCGCAGATGAGGTTATAAGGTACGTTTAACTGTGTACACTTGGAGAGTTTGTCAGATACGAGTTCACAAATCTTTGCCTGATTTATATTGGAAACCTTGCCCGACACTCTTTCTCTGTTTTTGTCCGGAATAAGACTCAGCCCCAAACAAGCAAGACGAGTGAACGTCGGCTAGCTTATCACTAACAGAACGATGGACGATTACAGAAATACGCCGACAATCAAATTCTGTGCTGACTTATTCGCTGCCCACAGATGTCCTTCCGTTATAAAGTTTCAAATAAGACTAGAATGCGCGAGCGTGAATCGACCAAACGTCCTTTTAATTTATAAGGCTTACTTTCCGGCAAATAAAATGAACTGAATGTAAAAAGTGAAAGAAAAATAGCGAAAAATTCAACTTCTGATTAAATCTTTTCTTATGGTTTAGAATAAACAGCTGAATAAACTATTCTCGAAACTGATGATGTTTTGATCAAAGCTTTGTAAATGGAGCTGAAACTGTGTATGGAATCTTGCGTTTCCTGTATTTATCTCACCTATTGTATGGAATATGTGTGAAAATCTTCATTATGAATCGGTATATTTCAAAGAGCTACAAATCGAGCAAGAATACTATTGACCGACAATATACAGAACGGGGGCAGCTGTAGTGTCAACTCTCTAGTATATTATTAAGCTTACTTCCTGTAAGTCTCTCTCCAGCATATTTTGCGGAAGACAAGACAGCAAAAGGTTGAGCTGAAATTGGAAAGACAATGAGAAGTTACATACTGCTTTAGTTAGTATAAAATAGATTTGTCTTATCTAAACCTATCTCTATCATTCAAGAACCGACTTGTAGGTAATGGATGCCACTGGTGGTTGTGATCTTTGTGGTAGAGCTCAGGTCTTTGAGGATGTACGTTCCTAGGGTAGCCTGTACCTCACTGCTATGAGATGATGACTGAAGCGGCTGTTTTCCCGTGGATTTGCAGGTAACTCAGTCGTGAGGTCACGTCAACCGTGCTCAATGGCCACATCGACATATACCCAATTTAACAGCAAAAACTGGATATGTAGCTCATCTATATTTAGAAGTACGCTGGCCTTACTACCGAACGGTAGCTTTGTTTTCAGCGCGGTTGTGACTTTTCACGCCTCGATATTTCAAAGAGGAATAGGTGAGGGTTTACTCCGGGGGGGGGGGGGGGGGGGGGGGGGGAATATGGCGGGAAAAATAAAAATAAACCCCCAAAGGGGGACAATTGGGGGGGTGGCCCAAGCTAAAATGGGCCCCCACTTACCCCAACACAAACTCAATCACCACCACGCATTTTTTATAAACCTTTTTATGCC